TGGAGCATGTTCGAAGAAATGAGTAAAATGCATTTTTCTTGGCATTTATATGATAAGAAAAAAAAAAGAATATTTCAATGCGGAGAAGATTCGAAATCCATACCTCATTAAATGGGGAATAGGAGTTGCTGCTTGTTTGAGTTTTTTTGATGTTTTTAGAAGCATCTTAGATATTTTCATATTTTGACAATGTTTTCAAAATAAAACAGTTAAAAAAAAAAATAAAAATATTTAGTATTTTTATTTATATTTATATTTTGCTAAAAAATGAAAAAATAAAAAATAAAAAATAAAACAAAAACATTGTGTCCAACATGCTTTCTTTTTAATATTTTTTAATCTATTTTGGAAAAAAAATGGCAAAATCTAGTTTACCTCCTTGTGATTTGGGTATTTTGCACATGATTTTTCTATGATTTGGAAATCAGCACATTAAGTGGTAAAATGACTTTAGTACCCGCAAATTATTCATTATTTTCTTCCTTCCTCTCAAGTGTAGCTTAATTTTCTGAAAAATCAACCAACCATCCAATTTTACAAGTTTTTCTCTCTCTCCACAAAGTATCAAACTTCCTCAAACCAATGTCAATATCCTCCACTCTCAACCTAATTTTAAACCCCACAAACTTGTTTCCTTAAATATCCCCCATGACACACGAATTTAAGCTCAAAGGTAATCACAAACTCATTTTAACAAGTTATGTACATACTAGATTTTTTTCAACATTTGGGCCAATTTTGACATTTAATTTCTCCCTCGTTTCTCAACCTTTTTGGGTGATTCAAATGCCTAAATTTAACTTCTTTCTACCCTCTTTCCAACCATGTATTTAGTTTGTCCAAATCATGCACAATGTAAGTGAAAATCGAGCTGCAAAGTGAGGGGTTCATCATTTTTAAAAAGTGTCACGATTTTTAGTTCAATTTTTCACCCGCCAAACCTCAGTCTTTCTCAATTTTAACTTCAAAAATGAATTCCTTGACCCTAAAAATGGTGAATTATGCCCCCATTCACCTCCAAAACTCAAAATTTTGAATACCAAAAAATTTAAGTTTTAAGCATAAACAAGGGTTTTGATTTTCTCTCACTATATACCTTGTTGCCTCTCTCTCACTCTCTATCTCTAACTCAGCAATGTCACTGCCCCCTCTCTCTCTTCTTCATCATCTCTCTCCATCAACAACCCCCTCTCCCCTCTCTCTTTCTCGAAGTAACAACCTCATTGCCCCTTTCTCTCACCACTATTCTGCCACTATTGGCAACCTACAGCCAAACAGCCCTCCCAAGTATATCTCCATCCCATCCCCTCCCTTCCTCCCTTGCCCTTTTCTCTTTGTTCAAACCCCCTCTTCCCAGGCTCTCCTCGCTGTGACCAACGACGGCATCAGAGCCACACCCCCTTCCTACACATAAAGACGATCCCACCATGATTATTGAACCTCTAGCCATTAGTTATTCCTATAATTTGAGTGGTAAGATGAATTTCACTTGAGCCGTGCATAGTTAAGAATCATCTACTTAATTTTAATTTTTAAAATTTTGTTGTTAAAAATTTTGATAAAGAGACCGTGCTTGGAGTGAATTGTTTGAAAAAAAAATATGATAGTCAACTGTTCAGGTAGATGAAGATTGAAGAAGGGTATTATTGTACATTTATTGTGTCTATTTCTGGAGGGAAAAAGTTTTGTTATATCAAATCTCCTTTTAGGTGCGTGTGTGTCACATATAGTTTAATCTAACAGAAAAACTAACGGTAGCATTTTAGTCCAAAAGCATAAGGGGGTAATGTGCTGATTTCCAAATTATAGAGGGGTCATGTGCAAAATACCCAAACTACAAGGGGGTAAACTGAATTTTGCCCGAAAAAATACTTTACCAAACAAATAATTAAATCATCATACACACAAAATCCACCTATGTTTAAACGTCTCCAAAAATGTAAACTAACCTCTTTTTGAAAAAAGAAAATAAAACTAACCTCTTTTTGAAGAAAGAAAATAAAACTATATGTCGTCATAAGTGCCAAAAAGTTCTTCGAAACTCATTCCTTGAACCCAAATCTCACATCCGGTTCCGTTGTTAGTTATGAGTAGAAGAAATTTTAACTCAACACAACTTCCACAATTTAAAAATATTGTTCAATATTATCCATTGATAACCCTAGCTAAAAGAGGGTTGTGTGGTATAATACCAATTTTGATGAAGTATTGAACAAGCTTTTTAACTACTCCGTTGATTGGGTTACTGTAGGTAGCCTTAAGAATGCAAGAGAATAATAACTCCACAGACTCACGCAAAACAAGAAATACAGAGTAAAAGGCCCTAAATAAGAATAACTGGGCCAAGGGAAGTTTGGAATAGAGCTCCCAAGATTACTGTTGAATCCAAGTAGAGACACAGGCTAATTTGCCCAAGCTAGGCTTTTTTGGTTGGACCTAACCCCCATCTGAGAATTTGTTTTCCAGTTCCCATTACCTGACCACGATCCACCAACCCCCCAACATTAGGTCAATTACATACAAACGTAAGAAAGATAAATTATAATTATGTGGGAGAGATTTTAGGAAAGAAAAATTATAATTATGTGAGAGAAATTTTAGGAAAGGAAAAGAATATGTTGTTTAAAATTCATTATCCCATTAAAATATGAAAGTTTTAATTCATTTTTGGAAGACTGTGGTTTGTGTATGGTTGAAAACTAAATGAATTTTGAAGAAGTTTTGTTCAAATTTTGAAAATTCGAGTTTTGAGACTTTGATTAGTGGCCGGATCTTGTGGAGATGGTGAATGGATCCGGTGGTTTCCAAAGACAAACAAGTGTCTGTTAAGTTACCTCCTTGGGTGTTTTTGGCATCAACAAAAAAAGAGGATTTCTTCACAAAATATTTTAATCGAAAAAATTTTATGCAAACAAATCCTATATAGGGTACCGACCTAAAAAAAAAACCCTTCATTCAAAATACTACAAACAATGAGTGTTGAAATAGATTGCTAGTTGAGAGACAATATGACAAAAGTCATTAATACCAGGCGCTAAGTTAAATTACAAAAACTGTAAGAGGACAAAGTATAATTTATCCTAAGAAGGTATATTCCGGGCACCTTCTTCTGTAGACCATGGGCAAAGGCAAGGACAAACTGCTACCTAAAAACTCAATACTTTTCAAGATAAGGTCATTTTGACCATTCTACGGTTTGACTTTTTCTAAGATCGAAGACTGCAATGGTATGAAAGGGACGGGAATATGGTACCAAAATTTGGCTATATCGAAATTTATCGTATTTGTGATAATTTTTATCATATTTATGTGGAGTTTTATCACATTATAGTACAAAATAAAATAATAAAAATAATTACCATTATAATAGTAAAAATACTCATAAATATGTTAAAAATAATTATAAATATTATAAATTACTCACAAAAATAATAATTTTTTTTGTACTTAAGAAAAATGATAAAAATAATTATCACAAATATAATAAAAACACTCAAAATAATAATAAAAATATTTATAAAAATAATAAATCAACCACAATGGATGAATTTTTTAATTGTATATAATTATCACAAAAATTTTGAAGACATTGTTCTAAATTTTTTTTTTGGCTGTTCCATTGTCATGTCCGTATGAAAGATAAGGAACCTGAATGCACACCATCTTTGACTTAGTCAGAATGTCCAAATTTACAAGATATCTCTCGCACGAGGGACCCACTATGCTAAGATATCATCTTAATTCCCATATTATTAAATAATATAATTTGAGTGCCTTAGAAAGAATTAATTGTACGATACCAAAACGAGTGGTCGAAATTTTGGTATTTTATTGGAGGTGAAGTTCAATTAAGAAAATTTATTTTATTTTTTAATTTAATTAAAAAATTATTTTATTTTATTTTTTTAATTTAATTAAAATTTTATTTTATTTAATTTTCTAATTTAATTACGATTCTAGTTTCTTAGTTAGTTTAGGATTTCACTATTATTTAAACTCTTGTGAGCGGGCTATAAAAGTTTTTGCTTGATTAATACAATTGAGTCTTTTCTTCTCAATTCTTCTTGTATTATTTGTGAATCAACAAATCAATTGAAGCTTTTAGATTGATATTTTTTGTGAATTAACAACTTTATAGTAGGATTTTAATTCAGTATTTATGCGCAAATTAACGGTTTAGTTTCACTAGTCCCATTCGTTCATTATCCAACTTTATTCTATCCGCTACCCTGCAGCAAGTATCATATAAAAAATTGATTTTTACCATTCATTTTACTTTGATTTAATTGTGGCCATTGATTGTAAAATTTAAAAAAAAAATAAATAAATTTTATACGTATTGCATCAAAAGAGAAGTTACGCTTTGGGTACTATAGTGGGATCCATCAAACTGTAGTTAACTTAATTAGAAAATAAATTGTGGTAAATATGAAAATGCAGCGCAAATGAAGAACATACCTTGTTCCGGGCACATGAACGGATGAGCTTCAATGTTTTTACAAAGGCATGAGGGCTGTGTAGAATTTGTGCCAGACCAACACAACCCACCGGACGTCTGACAAGCCGAACAAAACTCCTCTATCCGATACTCCACGTCAAAACCCTCATTCAATAGTTCCAGCAATTCCATGGTCTCATTCGGTGTGAATCTCTGAATAGCCCTCCCAAGAACAGGAACGGTCATAGTTCGCTCACATGATTGAAATTCCGGTAACTGAACCGACGAAAACGATTCGTCAGCGTAAAAGCCAAGCCTCTCTGAACCATTTACATTGCAAGTAAAACTATTCCTAACAGATATATTAAGGCTGGGACCTCGGCAATCATACAACACGTTGAGATTTCGAACGTCTGGACCGTAACTAAAGAGGGTGTCATCTAGAATCGAGTAATTGAAGTTGTCCAGACAAATATCGTCCCAGAGATCGGTAGGAGCAATGGTGACCAAGTGAGTGGATGAGTTGATGCTTAGGAGACGAAAATTCTGATTGTTTATGTCTATGGTGGTGTAATTATTGATATTGCAAGTGAGTTGAAACCCGGGAACGCCGCAGAACGGAGGGCGGTTGGCTCCCCAGAAAGGGTAGCTAACGTTCTGAATGGTTGCGCCACAGTGGTAGCGGGTGGTGTCGCAGATTGTGTACTGGTCATCGTCGTCGCCATTACAGGTCGGAAAAGTGATGAGGATGAAGATGATGGTGGCGATGGAGTGGTGGAGAAGGGGAGAGAGTAAGAGTTGGCGATGCATTTTTAAATGGAAGGAGGATTGGTTTGAGGGGTGTGGTTTATTGCAGGTTGTTTTTTATCACAGGAGTACAATAGTCAAAGGAATGAAATAGATAGAAATGTTCCTAGGGTGCTCTGTTGAAAAATAGTGGAAAAATTATCGATAAATGTTATTTTTTCTTATAATAAATATTCATTAAATACACTATATGTTGTATATCAACTATTATTTAATTTAATTTTATATTTTTTTAGAATGAATCAGTTGTCATATTTTTTTGACATGAGTTAATTTACTTTTTGATACGAGTTAAAACACAAAAAATCAAAATATATATGAATGAAAAGGAGAATACTAATGTTATAGCCTCAATATTTTAAGTGTCAATATATTATCAAGAGAATGATAGAATTAAAACAAAATATAGTATTTATGAAAATTAGGGAGGGCTTCATTCAAATAAATTGCCAAGAGTAGATGAATATTGTGTTCCGCTTCCACCAATAACTATACAAACCCGTACTACTAGTTAATATATATGTATGAATATAGGAATTACTAGTTACTATGGTACCAGGGAAAAAAAATTCAGTATCGTACCTCTAAAATTTATTATTTTAATAGATATTTTTATAGGTTATTTTATAATTAAAATTTTTTATCATTTTTTGTGAATATTTTTACAATTGTTTTGCTCAGGGGTGAAGCTAGATTTTCTCGAGGAGGGCCAAATAGTGGTAAAACAATATAGTTTGTACTCAATCTGGATCATTCAATTAGATCATTACGGTTATGACATTTACATGCATAGAATTTATAACAATTTATCTCCCACGGTGGTATAGTATAATTATTATTTTCAATTAAATGAATAAAGTTAATAATTATTAGAACTGTAGATGAAAACATCAAGTGGATGGCAAAGTCGAATTTTTTGAACATTGTGATTTCAGCATTTGATAAAAGTTGAACCACAATCTATGGTTATAGTTCATACATAAAAAATGCTGTGCAGGAGGATTCCGGGGACACAGAACGTTGGCTACAGAATATCAGAACGCCCAGAAATAAATCAACCGAGTGTACAGCATAAATTAGTGCATATTAACAGTGCAAACATCCGATACAGGATCTGGGACTTCTCTAAGGCTGAAAGTTAGCATGATGAAGCATATAAAGAATCTGACTGCTTCATAACTTAAATAAGACGGGAGGCAAATCATTAGCAGCTTGTAACACTAATTCGTTCTAATAGGATCTATGGGTATACAGACAACTCATTCTTCACCATTTATCATAAAGATGGCTTCTTAAGGGCATTTTCTTTGAATGTAAGAAGCACCATGCTCTTCATACCTGTCATTGGCAATCATATAAAACAATGATAATTGCAAGACAAAAACTGAAAACACATGCAGCTTCCAAGCCGAGGAGAAAGGAAAATATTATCAAGGAAAAACTGCAAGGCTAAAATGATTGCTCAAATATCAAAGTAGTTCGCCTCAGTCAATAACCAGAAAACTAGGGCATCAGGTGAGCTTACTCAGACTTGGAAAACCACATTTGCTGAAAGGAGCCGAGAGATGCCAGTATACTCCCTCCTATCCAGACACTGCATATACAATCACAAAACACACACATGAAGCAATAAGAACAAGTCTATATATATTTGTATAAGCAAAGATTTTCTCCAGAGACTCTGAATAAAGAAAGGAAAAGAAAATTAACTTCAACTCATTTATTTGAAGTGTTAGCTTAAATAGAAAGCAAAACATAGCAGTTATTTTTGTTCACACATAAGTCTACTGGCAGTGTTGCTGCATGTGTAGTTAATGCAGCAAAAGGGCCAATTTTGACTCCTTGCTAGTAGGAAAACATGCATCCTGCATGCTTCTGAACACCAGAGATAGGAGAAGAGAAGGAGGAAGAAGAGAGGAGGAGGAGGGGTTAAGCAAGTATATGTCCAACCTGAATCTCCTTTCCGTCGCATTTCCACTTGCCAATACTTTAACTCTAGCTGCTTGAGGAGATTCCTAGAAATTGAGGATAAAAAACTCAGGGTCATACCCTCAGTAAATTAAAAACACTAAGGATTTATTACAGGTACTCCATGAAGCAATTATATAGGATTTCAATATTATCATGTGGGCAACCAATAGATATCAATCCAACACTCTGCATACCTCTTCACTCGTAAATCCACCAAACAAAATCACAAAATGGATTCCAATTAATTAAAAAAAAACGAAACAAAATTCCACCATAATTCAAAGTAATCATAATCGCCTATCTCATTCCTTTCAGTCTCCCCAGAGTGTGCGTCTGTGTGTGTGTGTGTGTGTGAGAGAGAGAGAGAGAGAGAGAGAGAGAGCTCCGTGAAGTTTATTTTAATGAATGTCAATATACAGACTACATTTTTTCCCTTTGAAAGGAAACAAGAAACTGTCCGCATATGACAATTAATAATCAGCCAGAACATTCATTTGACTAGTAAATAGAGTAATTGTTGAATGGCACCATAGATTATAGCAGCCTTCATGATCAATTGAACCAACAACAATTAAATCAATATATCGAATAGGTCAACGTAGAATACAAGTCACACATAAGGCATATGCCATACCTCTAGTAAATCTTTTTCAAGACGTTCTTTCAATTGTTGCATTGATGCTGTGCCACCAGCAAGCTGGATAAAAGATAGACATTGAAAGCAAATCAAAGGCAATAAGACCCAAAGATTAATATAGAAGAATAAATACAAAGGTTGAGCACACAATTGCAGCAATATGACCACGAGATTTGTCCAACTTTTAGTGGCAATCAGCCACATGATTTCTGTAAACAACAATGTCTTGGTAGGTGAAGCTATCAATGTTGCTCATTGCCCCATTCAGGAAACATATATTCTATGTTGAAAATGGTATGCAAGGTGACTGCCAGTTTACAGACTTTAGGTGCATATCATAACTCAGGAAAATAATCAAACTCACTCCATAAAGGTGACTAAGTTACAGTCTACAGATTGAGAAGGAACATATATCCACACTTATATGTATATATAAGCATGTATATAAAAGGATTATTGGAGATAAGGAGTTAGAAGAGGTAGATGACTCAAAGAAGGACTTGGATCTATCAGCCAAGGAAGCAAAGTCTCGGTGAATCACAAAGTCTGCAGCCGAACTATCAGCCATACTACCAGGGAATATCAACAAATCTGATTATGCCATGAGTTGATGAGAGTCCTATTGTAGTTTCAATTCTTTGTAGATACAACTCAGCTGTAGATAAGATGTATGGTTATATATACAATGCATAGGGCAGCATACTCCTCTCAAGGTTTTAACACCACAATAGTAGAGGTTTTTCAATATATGTTATTCTTGTTTCTCTTTATGGTATCAGAGCCATGAAGAATCTCTTCTAAATGGGCTTATTCACTTTCCCTTGAAAATCTATCCCAATTGATCACCATGGTCAACGTTAAACTCAACTCCAAGAATTATCTAATCTGGAGGAGTCAAGTTCTTGATTTGATTATAGAAGCAGATCTTTTGGATTATATAAGCAGCACCACTGAAGTCCCAAAACCGAAACGTGTTTCAGCTGAGGGAGTGGAGGAAGTTAATCCAGAATTTCATCCTTGGCAGAAAACAGACCGACTACTCAAGAGCTTAATTTCTGGTATAGTTTCTGAAAATATACTGAGTCTTATTATCGGCATGGACACAGCTCTTCAGGTATGGTCATTCTTAGAACAAAGTTTGTGAGCTTGCTGCTATTAAGAAACCTTTGTCAGATTCAGACAAGGTTATGTGGGCTATGAATGGCCTAGGTCCTAAATTCGATTCCCTTATAAATGCTATTATGGCCAATGCACCTTTCCCCTCTTAATTCACAATTTGTGCAGTCCTTGACAGGGTAAGAGACAAGAAATCTGCTCTACCCTAGTCAAAACAAGACAAACGAATTGCAAGCTTTTGTTGCACAAAAACAGAATTATGGATGTGGAGGCGGTAGCAACTCGAATTGGTATAAAGGAAAAAATCAGGTATTTACCTCTAAAGGTCGTGATTTCATGCAGACATCTCAAGACCAAAGCCAAGATGGGTAAAATCACTCCACCAAGAGTTGTTATCGCATTCCCTGTCAAATATGTCGTAAATAGGTACATAATGCACTTCACTGTTATAATCGCTATAATCATGCATTCCAGTCCGAGGAAGTTCCTCAAGCTCTCACAGTAATGCAAATTACAAATCCAAGGGATCCCGAATGGATACCAGATACAGGAGCAACTACACACGACAGGTGATTCAGGTATATTGCAAAACCTTTGACCCTATTTTGGACATGATAGTGTAACTGTTGGGAATGCTGAAAACCTTCCAATCACACATATTGGGTCAACATTTATTTCCACCAATAATGGGCATCTTCAAGTTAGTGATATTTTGCTTGTTCCAAATCTCACTAAGAATTTGTTATCAGTTGGACAACTTACTAAGGACATTTCATGTACTTTTGAATTCAATTCCAATGGTTTTGTAAATAAGGACACAGACCAGGAAGAAGGTGGCAATCAGAACTAAGTCAGGGGACTGTATGCACTGGGTGGTGACAAGAAGGCACTCTTCTCTATTTGACAAAAGAAACCTTCTAAAGAAGTATGGCATCAACGACTTGGTCACCCAAATAAGAAAGTTATTTTTCATTTATCTCGTAGAAATAAAATTGTTGTCAGTTCATGGAATGACAAACTTGATATGTGTGAAAGTTGTCAGCTTGGTAAGAGTTGTAAACAACCATTTATCAATACGAGTGTTCCTCTTTGACATGTAAGAAAATACATTGTGATCTATGGGGACCTGCATCGGTTAACTCTATGCAAAATTTAAAATATTATGCATTATTTGTTGATAATTACACAAGATTTGCTAGGATTTACCCACCTAAACACAAGTCAGATTTTTTCTCATGCTTCTTGAAACTTTCTGCAATGATCC